TATTTTTGAAGCTAATTCCATCAAATTCCACTATTTATATTGCAAATACATCTGTAAGAGAACAAAATAAACCATACCAGCTTTATTGTTGTAGAAAACAATATTTGTAGGGTCAAGCTCGATGGCTTTATTATAATGTTCTGTCGCTTCATCAAAATTTCTCAATTTATATGCTGCATTTCCAAGCTCTTTCTCTTTAAGTGCCTGAAACCAATTTTTAATATTTATTTGCTTGGGCTTTTGGAAATACTGGTTTTCAAGTAGTTAAATGACAAAAGTTCTTGAAGTTAGCTAATTAAATAAAGAAGTAAACATAACCTCTTTCGTCATCTTTGTCTACTTAAGACAATATCGTTTGTAAAGACAATGATTCCTAGAATTTCCACCTGGAAAACTGGGAGGCCTGAGCAATCACTAACCACATAAAAAAACATAAGACAAAGAAATCATTCACGTTCAAAACAGCTTTTCAGCTAAAAACATGCTATCTATTATAATATAAACTGAGGAATTTTTCCTAAGAAAGCTATATAGCGAGAAATGTGGAACTGCCTCAGACCGACTACCTCTAGCGTTTAGGTACCAGAAAGGAACAGATCGAGCCGAGGAACCGACTTAAGCAAATCTCTCAAATGCATTGGGAGGGAGCTGAGAAATCTAGAAGGACCTCACTTTTCTAGCGATATCACACTCACTTCAATACAGCCAAACATTGCTAAGAATAAGGAAAGAAAGCGAAGCAAGAAAATGAACGGCATTCCCATTATCCAAAGGACACCAACTCCATGGAAAAGTCTAAACCTATATTATAGCTTGAGCATTCCAGAAAAATCGAAAAGTGTCTATTTGAGTGCAGAGCTTACTTGTAAGCCTTATAGTTTCTATTGCAGCACAATAACACGTTCAGTATTTTATGCTTGTTTTCTTTGTTAAATTATGTTCATCACAAGGAACGGTACATATTTTTGGTATGTTTTTTGTTGTTTCAGGCAATTTTCCTATTATTAATGCGGAAACAAAGATGCAAAGTACTCTTGGAAATGATTCATAAATCGTTACATTGTTTTAATTTGTTAAAGCTTTCACGTAATTTACGTTTAATTAAAGAATGAGCAAATTGAATAGTGACATTTATTACTGACAGAATTAGCAAATTAATGTGAAGATTGGATCCCTTACTGTAATCAAAGTGTATCTGAAGTGATTACAATGAAAGTTTTTGTTTTCAACAATGGTAAGTGTTATTGAGTTGTTTAACACGAGCCTTAATTATATTCAACCGTGTGTGCTTGGTACTAAAATTAGTCCCCAAAGTAATTAGTATTTATTGTTGCAATATAAAGTTAATTTCATATTTTCCTCTGTATTACACTTTAAAAGTAATAAGTTTAAGTGAGCATTTGTAGATAATTCGCGTTAAGTAATTTGTAACAAATACTTCTGATACTTTGTCGTCAACTTTCTCTATATTTTTTTATATTTCTGTTTCATCTTTGTTTTTCGATTTTTTGTGTGTAAAAAAGCACAAATTCAAGACAGACTGAAAATGTCGTTTTAGATTTTATACCTGTTTTTTCATCTATTTTGATATAATCCGTCACCATTGTTTTTGACATTTCAATATTTGATCAAAGTATGCGATTTTAATTTGTTATATCTTACAGATGAATTACTGTAGCAGATTACAATTAATAACGATATTTTTTGCTATATGCTGTGTACGTGTGACACGAACTTCTACAGGTTTTTATGTCGATAACGAAAATGCACAATCTATACCGCTTGCTGTTAGTAGGTCCTCAGGTTTTTCATTTTATCTTCCTTGTTACTATGCGTAGTTTTTATTTCCATATGAATAAATTACTGCATAATAACTATTTAATTAATTCGTTATTAGTGTTTAGATTCATTTATTTATGTTATGTATGATTTTGCTATCTTTATATGTGCTTATTGTCCTTTTGTCATGAAATTTGTCTTAAATCCTAAATATTACGGAATTGCCCCAAATGTTTTGATTTTTTGTATTTAGGCATGGTAGTGCAAGATTAGAGTCAAAAATATTGGAATTGTTAGGAATAAAACATTCTCGACCATTAGTTGTCCGTAGGAAGGATGATATTGTGTCGCGTTTTATGGCTGATTTATATCGAAATTTGGAACATGATGTTGAACTCAATCCTGCTTACAAGTAACTCTTTAAATTACTTTAAAACTAATCAAAAGTTAATCAAAGGTCTAAAAACTGCGTTAAAAGTTGTAAAAAAGTTTGATAGCCATGAATCATAACCATGAAGAATTCTTATTTGGAGATTACTGTTGTCCATGATTTTCTCATGGACTTTTTGTCTGAAAAATTTCCATATAGTTCTTGGATTGCCTTAATTTCAACTTGTTTTTATGTTTAGATATCTAGCAAGTGGACAGTTCTTATCAGCTGATGAAAAAGAAGCCATTGAACTCGGTGAAGCTGATACAATTGTATCTTTCTTGCCACGGGGTAACTTTTGATGCATATAAGTCTTTCATCATTATATGTTTAAAAAGTATATTTCATCAATGTCTATTTAAAAATTTTTTTTGCACTGAAATTTACATTTTTCACTAGTCTTAACAAATATCTCTCTACCGCTTTCATTTTTCTGTGCTTGTGTTTATTCATTTCAGTATTGCGTTGTCTTTTGTTTTCTCACTTTTTTAAAAATTTTTGTAGGTATTGTCACTTGTTTTGTAGAGAAATAATTATTCAGCAAATTTTAAACTTCAGTTTGCCAAAAGAAATTTCTTCAAATCTGCAAATTTCAGATCAGAATACAGTTTCCAATTACGGCACAAGTTTACGGTTCAATCTTGCAGATATACCAAAAAGTAGTCAACTTCTGCATGCCGAACTTCGCATATTTTTTAATGGTTCAGTAAAACCATGGCGTGTCTTTGCAACAGTGCAGTATCCAAGGTTCTTCCAGAATATAGTCATTAATGAAGTGCATGATAATTATATTTTCTTTCTTTTAATTAAAACTGGTTTTACATTAATCGTTAAGTATTGAATCCGAACAAGATTTCATTTAAAAATTTTGTTTAATACAACATATATATTTTAGCCGATGTTGAGAATTTTTTTTCAGAAATATGGGATATCTTGCAACAATAAAATCACGTATATCGAGTAGAGGTCATTTTGTTCTAAATATTACCGAAGCACTTCTACGTTGGATTCAAAATGAACCAGCTCCTGCCATTGTGACTCTGTATGCCGTTACATCACATGGTATATTAATCTCGTGCTAATTTTTTATTTCGAATTGTATATGAAATTAAAGATTGATTTACAACTTTACTTAATACAACTTTTAGTTCTAAGGTTCTTGCAAACTATAATACTGTTCGAAGGAACAGTATTATAGTTTTTTTTTGTTTTGCTTGGAATCATAGTTATTTAATTGCAGGAGATAGGAGGTTCTTAGACAGTTTTGGCGAATGGCGTGGGTTTGGAATAGCTTCTTTTGTAGATGTATCAAATCATCTACATCAGCGGGTTAAGCGTGGTATTCCTGATGAGAATGCATTTGAAAATTATGGGTATGGATTCTCAGCAAAGCCTGATCCCTTGCGACATTCAGGTATACTTTGAGCTTTGTACTCTTCACACTGTATTTATTATGTAGATATGAATATTCAAAGTTTAACCTTAAATAATTTTCAGCATCAAATAAAGGGTGTCGCAGACGAACACTGTATGTAGACTTTAAAGACCTTGGTTGGCAGGTTAATTTTCCATTGTCAGTCATTCTGAAGTTTATTAGTATTATTTCTAAGTCAATGAGAATTGTTTCTGATCGTAAATGACCCAAGTGAAACCGAGTGGTCATCAAGATTCAGAATCTGCATTGTGAAATTTGTCATAATTGCTTTTAAAATTGTTGAAGGATTGGGTCATTGCGCCAGATGGTTACCACGCGTATTACTGTGATGGGTTTTGTTCATTTCCGTTAAACAATCACATGAACGCGACAAATCATGCCATAGTGCAGACACTTGTCCACCTTATCGATCCAACTAGGTTTTTCTAACTTTTTCTGTAACATGGCTTCATTCAGCATAAATTTTTGTTATATGCTATTATAAAGTCTGCATGTTGTTTATTCAATGAAAATATTGATACATAGGTATTAGGCACGAGATATTAACTGGTTTTCAACGTATGTGCAGAAAATTTACATGACTGATGTCTTAAATTATTTAACGCATTGCATATCAGAATTCGTACCTAATGTTTTTGTTTGTTGTTGCTAATGAGATGAGTAGAGAACATACATCGTCCTGAGCCGTATATCAGTGCTCTAAAATTTTCTTATTTTACCCTACATATTTTTGTCTGATTATCAGAAATAAGTAAGTGTTCATTATTTTAAATTAGAATTTTCAGAACAACAGAGGCTAAATGTGCCCCATCATCGTTACGCTCTATGAAAATATTATTCATTGACCGTTCACAAAATGTGGTGCTGAAGCGTTATAAAAATATGCAAGTACGCGATTGTGGTTGTCAGTAGCAGGTTACTGAGAGGAATAATTTATGCATGCTTAATGCATTTAGTGTCTTTCTTGTTTCTTCTCACATTTCTTATTATTTGTTTTTATCATTCTTTCTGTCCATTTGTTGAATAGCTTTCAGCATTTTTTTAAATCATCATCACGCATATGCATAATATGTATTGGGTTATCATAAAAAATTGCAGTTTGAATATGCATTCCTACTTATATCGTATGAATATTGAAGTAAAAACTTACCGCAAACACAAAGATCAACAAAATTAGAACCAATTTAGGAACCCTATCACCACAAATTATATGAAAATATTCATAAGACATGAGTAGGAATGCAAAATTCAATTTTTTAATGAGAAGCTAGTAAATTTATATGTTTTTTTATTGCTGGCAAGTGAATGCTCTATTCCTTTAATGCTGTATCAGCACACGGGATTTTCTTTGTTGATGTTTAAAAAGTTGCATTTTATTTAGATTTGTTCACATCTCGTTATGTATAATAAAAAGACAGTCCATCTACTTTTATTGTTAGGAATTGATAGTTTTGTTTGTTTTCATGAACTTTGTATCATATGGTCATCATATCTCTTTTGCAAATTGTATTATATATTGTTTTTCATGATGGTAATAAAGACAAATTGTTAACTTTATTACATCCCACTTCTGTGAATATGTGAGAATATGATAATGAAGATTCCAATTGTTATACGAATAAATTAATGATTTCCAATGGTCATGATAAAGGTTTGAACTGTTACGATTAATTTCAGTTTGTCTATTACCGTGGGCTTTATCAAAACATTCAGACTTTGGCAGTGTTAGCTGAGGTTCTTAAAACAAGGATTCTTTTTAAATGCGTCAGATTTATTTGTTCTTAAGTACTCAGATTCCTTGAAGTGTGGTTTTAGTTTATTATGAAGCAGTATTCGCTAATTTTACGGTACCTCGAACTTGTCCAGTTTATGCTAGGAACTTATATTTGGCTACTATGGAAGAATAGAAGCAACTGTATTAAGTCCTATAGTGACAATATACGAATTCGTTTGAAAGTAAAGAGTTCCCGTTATGGTCGTCACAGGTCCGTTGTTATAATTTGTCTTGTGTTCATATTTCGGTTCAGTCTTAAAGTTTTGAATTCTTCTGTCAGATCCGTTTATTACGTAAGTACGATTATATATAAATTTGAAAAGTTGATCTGCAATATATTACCGATTAATTGCAACGCTTAATTTCGTGGCTCAAATTTAGAAAACTGTAAAATTAGTTATATGGGCTGCTGGCTGGGATTTTTAATTGTATTATACAATTAAAAATCTTAGCTGATTTGATGTTTTTGGATTTGATAAATTGGGCATAACTTTGAAATTATGTTCCTAAATTTTTCGACTGGTTTGTGGCTCAAAAAATTTTTCCAGCCTTTATCCCACAAAGTTAGTTGAATAGACACACTGTCCAAAACTTTTGTCCAGTTATGTACGACTTCATTTTTATTGTCCTCTTAAGGCCACGAAATAAGTCTAGTAGAGCTAGGAAAACTTTATACAGATCAGAATTGTTGATTTCTGTGCTGAATTTAATTGATAATTAAGCTTCTTCTACTGAAGACTTATTGCAGCGATATTTCTTGTCGGTTTATTACTTATTTCTTGAATTTGCTGTCTGTTTCATAAATTACAGTTTATTGTTTAAAAATTTTGGAAATTTTTTGAGCATATAAATTAAAGACTTGATGTTGGTATAATCCAATTGTATTTGCAGTTGTGAGACAGTTGTTTGGATCAGTTGTCGTTGTGCTTTCATGCTTATGGCTGGTTCCAAAAAAATGAAAAAATTAATTATTAAAGTGTGTGACGGTAGGTCTGGGAAAGTAGCTATCTGTTGCCCTAAAATTTATCCATTATTTTGTGAGCAACCTGTTGCTTTTATTGACGATCTCAGCGCATTTAATTTGCATACCAAAGGTTTTTGTTTGGAGAACACATTCCTTAAGGTTTGCTTTTGCTTTCTTCTTTGTAATTCACACATTGTTAGTCGGTAAGTATAACTTTTGAAGGTTTAATTATTATTTCATATCAGTTTTATTTGTGACCGAACAACTTGATTTATCATAATACTTTTCCTTATTTTACTGTGGTACCAAAATAATCACATAGTAGTAAACCATATAGACAAAAAGCGAGAATTATAAATGGGTTGTTTGAAGTTTATGAGCCATCAAGTCATGTTTATCTCTGATAAAATTATAGTTATATCATTAGTAACTGCTTAGTTTCAAATGCCATAGTACTATTTTTAGGTCTTTCCTTCAGATGGATTGGATGGAGTAAAATTTTGTACGTCATCAGAAGCGCATATTGCCTTAATTAGAACGTCTTTTTACGATCATCGGATAGATTATTCTAACGAACTTCGAAAATACTTCCTCTGTCCTAAGTTAAAATTCTTATTTTCTTCCTATTTTTAATGCTTGACAGTATTTGCCTTTTGACTTTATGTAATTTTAATTTTAATTTTAATCTGCTGATAAGTAATAATAAAAGCATTGAAATGTCTCACTCTTATGGTCATGAAATTTTTTGAAAATCACAATTGTCTTTCAAAAAACCGAAATTGATAAAGTTTTAGAGAGTTGCAGAGTTGTCCTAAAATGATATTTGACCATAACAGAATATACTTTCTTGCAGACTCGTATCAGTAGGTGATGTTATTGTGATTCATTGGCGTAAACCTTGGAACTGTGAAGTAATGGAGATATTTTTTAAGGTAATTATTTAAGACATCATTTTTCGTGCTTCGATCCAAACCACTTAAAATTGCTATTTTGTGAAAAGTATAAAATAGTACTTGATCATTAAAATATTACATCTGATAATTTTGTTAAATTGTAATATGAAAGTCCTGTTTTTAGATTGTTAGTCTGGACGGCCCGGGCAAATTATCCGAAGCATTTATAGATTCAGAAAAAACAACATTATTTCAGGTTTGTAAGTGTGTGATCAATTTCAAACAAATTACTGTTTTTAGTTCTATAATTGGTGTAAGTTAACAAAACTGCTTTTCTCCTCATGATCACGGAGCAAATTTTTGCATATTCCGAGCTTTTTCATGCAATGTTATTGTTGGCATGTCTGATTTAAAGCGCATTTTTCACTTTGGTAAATTAGTTTTGGGCTAATTTTACAGAGTGAGTCAATTTTCAACAAAATTCCATACAGTAACATCAGGTGTTATGTACCACGAAAGTTCTTGGTCTTAGCACAACGAATTTCTTCATTGATCGCAGCTAACTATACAACAAAAATAATGTCTCCTTCATTGGTTATACTTTTAAGTGGTTCTCCAGGTTCAGGAAAGAAATTGTTTTTAAAATATTTATCCTCAGTAACTCATCTTGATATTTATTTTGCAAATTCTTTTGAAATATGGAGTGAAGCGTCTGGGATTTACAAACAGAATATTCGCAGTACTTTTGAAAAAGGTTTATTTATGTAACTTAAATCGCGCTTGCAATCTTATTATTATTAAGAAATTGAAATTTTCGGTCTCCTCAGGATTTTAATAACTATAATAAGTTATTAGATTTTTGCAAGTCCAAACTTTTTATGTCATGATTTTTATCACTAGATTTTTTTAAAAAACACAATTTCAAATGTGTCAAATATTTATTAATATGTTCCAGCCTCAAACAATCCTTTTTCGATGTTAGCATTTCTCAATGCAGATTTATTTGGATATAATTCTGGCGACACTAAACAAGGGTTGTCTGTTCGTTTTAGTATTCCCAAATGATATTTTATTGTCTTTGGCTGCATTATTTTTTAAATTACAGAAGTTTATGATCAGTTCTATTACGCAAGTTTTTTATAAGATAAGAATTTTTGACTGAACGTTGTGAGTTTTAAAGGGAAAAGTTTAATTTCAGGTGCTCGAGAATTGACATACTTGACAGAACTCTTAGAGACTTGCAATATACCCGCAATATTTTTGGTATGTAATGATAATAAATTGTCAAACTTACCCATATCATTGCGTTCTTTGGTACTTTATCATTTTGAAGTCCCTGCATTAACTGAGGAGGATCGAGTATCTGTAATCAAGAATGAACTTAATTCAAAAAATGCAATTGATATTACTGCAATCAGTAATCAAACAACTGTTAGTCATTTGAAATTTTTCGTTTTTCTATCATTAAAAAGTTGATTTTCATAAGAAGTCTCATAGCTAAAATATTTTAAGTGGGCTATTCATTAATTTTATTTCAGGGGTTTACATTGTCAGATTTGCATAATCTTTTGTCCGATGCATTATTCCGAAAAAGAATAAGCAGTTCGTAAGTATTACTTTTTTCTGCTTGAATATGTAACCCTTTGCAGTTTTTTATTGTTGAAGTTCTTTTTTATAGGATGACGGTTGAAACTGGGCATTTCATGTGGGCAATCGGGATGCGCAACACTATGTTGGCTAATGAAATGAAGATCTCTAAAGTGAGTTTCATTTATCATGTCGTTTAATTTTATTACATTTGTATAGATTTTTTGAAGCAGAAAAATCATCATTGATTCATCAAATAGTTTAGATTTTCAAATCTGTTTAATCTTATCTGCCATAATAAGATAATTTATTTGTGAGTGATTAGTACGCTATAATAATTGGAATATGTCCACCACAATTTAGAGACTTATCAAATTCAAAATTATTTTTAAGAGTTCTATTAAGCGTCAAAAAAAGATCTTTTTTTGACGCTTTTTTGCATATTTCTGAGAACAAAACGTTGATTTTGATCAGTAATAATACAGCCACTCATTGAAGTGGCTGTATTATTACTGTTGAGTAATTTTTATCATTTCATACATTTTTGTATTATTAAAAACTTGATAGATTCCAAAAACCACGTGGAATGATATTGGGGGTTTGGAAGATGTAAAGCGAGTTGTCACCGAAAGTTTGCTTATTAATTTAAATAAAACGAATAATATGAAACGCTATGGTGTTTTGTTGTATGGACCTCCTGGTTGTGGTAAAACGCTCATCGCCAAAGGTTGAAGATATATCTATGCATTCATATGAAATAATTGCTCAAAGGTTAACGGATTCATATTTGCAAAAGGTAGATGTGCATCGTTTGAGACCTTCAAATATAAACCATTTTTAGCTGTTGCAAATGAGTTCAAAATAAATTTTTTGAGCGTGAAAGGACCTGAGCTTCTCAATAAATACGTTGGTCAAAGTGAAGCCAATGTACATCAAGGTTATCTCTTTGTGCTAGCTTTTATTATGCTCCACTTTTATAATTTTTTTGCAATCGCATCGGTTTTTGTTATTGATTTCAGTCATATTGTTATAAGAGCTTAAACTACTTTTAGTCTTCGAAAAAGCTCGAATGGCTGAACCTTGTGTGATATTTTTTGATGAGCTCGATTCTCTTGCTTGTATTCGCGGCCGTTTCGGAGATTCCAGTTGTGTATCAGATAAGTATGTTTATCTATCTATTATATATTGAAAATTTCGAAACAATGGAAGCTTTAATGCTCAAAAAAGCTTTAATTATTTGCAGTTAGTAATTTTTTACAGCATTGTATCACAATTGAACATTGAATTGGATTGCTTGGAAGATTTTAAAGTTTTCGTTTTGGGTGCTACAAACCGCCTAGATTTGTTAGATCCATCGTTGTTGAGACCTGGAAGGTTGAATTTATGGTTTGATAATCATTTAAGCGATTGATCTGAAAGACAAGGTCGGTTGTAATTTGTTTTATTTATAGTATTTTTGAAGATTTGACAAAATTGTCGAAGTGAGCGGGACGAGAGATGTTGTTACTCGTGAGTGCATACTTCGCGCAGCTGGTCGGAATATCATGTTTGCTAATGACGTCAATTTAAAAGAAATAGTAAAGAAACACTACATATAACTATATGAACAGTTGCTCGAAATAAGGAATTTTGTGACTTCTTAACTCTGAATGAAAGAATGATTTTTTTAATCACTTCAAATTTGGTTTAGGTTTTTAAACCTTTCAATAAATTTTGCTGTAGAATCGAACTTAGACATGAAATAGGATGTGGTTATAATTTATTTGTTACCTAGTCAATATTGGTTTCATTTATGTTATTTGCATTAACTTTTAGGCAGAATTGTGTCGTAATCTTTCATCAGGTGCAGACTTATACGCAGTCATCTTACGCGCACAGGCAAATGCACTACGAAAACATATTGCAGCAATGGAAGCTAACCTAGTTTCACCTAAAGAGCACTTGTTGGTCACACAAAGCAATCTTAAAGAAGCAGTAAAGGAGGTTATATTTTTCTTGTTGATTTTTTGGAATATTCATAGCTGTGCAGTTTATTTGGTTGTATTTCGACTCTAACAGAAATTTTCAAGGTATTGCCATCATTTCCTCGAACAACCAAATGTTCACGCAGAGTGTAAATTGACTGTGGTTATTTATCTAAAATTTTGGATCAATCCCATCAAACTGTAAAATTTTGCAATCATTTGCGGAGAATTGAATTAGAACTCAGGTGATTGCTAGCTTTCACATATAATTGTTATTCGTCTAATTATTTTTATTGAATTTTATTATCCATTAAATTTAGTGAGTTTGAGAGAAATTCAAATTTTAACTCCTTAAATAGTAAAGAATATGATTATTTGTGCTTGATTATTGAGTTTTAAGTATCAGGCTTTTTCATATTGAACATTAATTCTCTGTAATGTTATTGATAAATCATGGATTCTGTGAGATACGAATTTGTTTCTTTTTGTTGTAATTATGACTAATTTCATTTGTTTTTATCATTTTGTAAGTTAATAAAGATAAAATCTTTACAGTCATTATCTTCATACTTTTTAATAAATAGTCTGTGTGCACTGCTTGCAGTATCTCAGTTTTAACAAACTTATCCAGTAGGAATTTTGTGAATTGATTTTGGGAGCTTTTGATCAATGTCAATTTTCCGAACAGTAATCAGGAATTAATCTTAGAAATTTCACGTTAAATTACGTGCGAAACAGCGAATATACAACATTTGCAATATACTTGTAAATTGGAAGAAGGCCATGAATAGAATGAA